GACCTGTTCTCTTTATTTTCTTTAGTTGTATTTATTTAAATAAATAAAAGGCCATAAGTCTCAGTTACAAAACCCAAGACATTTTGGTGTGGATGTTTAGATCAGTAAGTTATTCCTTCTGGCTAGCAGTTATTCAAAATGTTTCAAGGTAAGGGTAAAATAGTTTGATTCTGGTTTACGCTCAGGACAATTTAACCCACTCTGGCAATATAAAGTGGCTTTAAAGGGAATGTAAATATAAATTAAAACACTTTTTCACTGCTAGAGTAGTATAATGATAGCTCAATATAAAAGAAAATATGACCCTATCATTATGGTTTAGTAGTGTTTTTTTAACTCACTTTGCCCTCTTTATATTCTTATCTACCTGTGTCCATTCATAAGAACACACAAATATCCATACAAAATCAGACCAAAGGTCCATCTAGCTCAGTATTCTGTTTCCGATAGTGGACAATGCCCGAGGAAATGATCAGAACATATAATCATCAAGTGATCCATCCTATCTCACCGTTCCCAGTTGCTGACAAACAGAGGCTAGGGACATCATCCCTGCCAAATAGGCTGACAGACATTGATGGATCTCTTCTCCATGAATCCATTTAGGTTTTTTTTAAAAATTTATTACTCTTTCCTCATAGGGAAGCTGTTCCATACCTATGCTCATTTTTGTTGCCCTTTTCTGAACTGCTTCCCATTTCAATATATCTTTTTTGAGATGAGGTGATTACATCTGCACACGGTATTCAAGATAACTTTTTCTGGTGTCTTTTATTTAGCTGTTTGAGGGCAGGGATTGTCATTTTAATTTTGGTACAGCATGTAGCACAATGGGGTTCTGGTCCTTGACTAGGATCCTGTGTGTCAAAACAATACAAATATTGAAACAGTCAAAAGTAAATGACAACACAAGGTGCATGGCAGCAGAGAATCTGGTCCTTTGATAATGACTTGACATCATTTCACATGTGCTTTGCATAAGTGTAGGTACTTGAACACGGCATAAGGCACTGGAGAATCAGGCCCATAGCATCTCCAGCATTATCACTTATGTTATTTTTTTGTAAACCAGAGCTATGAAGGATATTTTTTACCTTGTGAAAGAACTGATTACGTGACTTAATATGACTGAGGTCATCTAGGAAACAGATTTCTGAGAACAATGATAGTGACAGGCACATATCAGAGGAAGAAATCTAAGAAAAAAAACTTGGTCAAGTAGTTGTCCTTGAAGCAGCAGAAGGAATCTTAGCAGGTTGGTTTATTTTATCTCAATCAGATAAACCAAGTGGACTGCATGTAAAAAATCAAAATGAATTCTATGCAGTCTGATTTAATTGCTTAATTCTCAGAAATGTCATGGAGCTTGTAAGCAAATTGACATTGTATTGTTTACTTAACAAAGCTGCTATTGAGGACAACTTGCCCTCCAGATGCTTCCTCATTGGTATGATGGTTCAAAAGAAACTAATGTTCAAAATTTATTTGTAAAGATTATTACCAAGATCATGAATGTTTTATTATCAGGCTACTGTTCAAATGAACACCAATATGGGCATTTTTCCTCCTAGAGTGATGACTGAAAGCACTAAAGGATAAATTGTTACATCAGTCACACCCTAATTTACTCACACTTGTAAATGGCATTTTGATTATAGATAAATATCTATAAAATCACTGGTATCCTGCCAGATTTATAAAGATAAATACAATTAGAGCTGCATTATAAGTGGTGAAAACATACAGTTTACAGGAAAATTATCCTAAGAACACAGAACCAGGTTTCATTCTCTGATCATATCCTGGCATAGCCTTGCAAACCTTTACATTTGGTTACAGGTTTTCACTTTCATTACAGCTTAAATGAATTATTACAATGCAATATGCCTTTAATTAGAAAAGTCAGCCTTGAAAAAAAGCTATAATTGACGCAGAAAATAGCAACATTCCTTCACAGCATACACTTACATTCTGCTTTCTCTATTCGTTTCCTGATGGGAAATGCATCTGTTCTAGTTGGGGCCAAACATACCTGAAAGAAAGTATTTTTCTGTATCTGAGAGCTTTCTTGATTTTTCCAATCCTTGGGTGCAATGGACCTATCTATCACTAAAATTAAATTACACTGAATGGTAACAGTTTGATCTCAGTGATAAGTGCCGGAGACTTACAATTTTGTTCTTCAAAATGTATGAACACCACTGGTTCTATGTCCAAAGGTGAGCCTGGCTTCTTTGATCTTGCTTTCTTACATGACAACTTATAGCTTAAAAAAACCTTAAAAAACAATGAATGATCCTGAAGCACCTTAAGCTATGTCTATACTGCACTCTTATTTTGGAATAAGCTATTCCAGAAGTAATAGTCCAAAATAGCTTATTTCAAAATAGCACGTCTACACTACACAGGGAAGCTTGGAAATTATTCTGAGGCAAGCTCCCCTAATGTGGATGTGCTACCTTGATTTAGAACCCAAGGAAGCACTAGGGAGTAATTACTTTGAATGGCCTGGCGAAGAGCTATTTCAAAATAGCAGCAGGGAAGCATCCACACTACTACTATTCTGAAATAGCTATTTCAGGAGAGGCATTATTCCTTGTGGAATGAGATTTACAAACATCGAAAGAAGCCGCCCGTTATTTTGAAATAACTGCCTGGATGTGTAGATGTTCACATAGTTATTTCGGAATAATGGACGTTATTCTGAAATAACGCTGATGTGTAGACAAACCCTTTGAGATTAACAGAAAATGTAGATAGTATCATGAGCTTTTGTGGGCACAACCCACTCCTTCAGATGAATGGAGCAAGGAGTCCAGAGTTACAATAAATAGCAAAAAAAGAGGGGATATGGCAGCAAAGAGAATGAAAAAATTGTCAATTACAGTGCCTATGCTAAACGAGGCTAATACAGTGGGCTCTAAGTGCCCAATAGTTAACTTTTGTTGCCATTAGGGTGTTGAATGTAATGGCCCATCCAGATCGGGTCTTTGTTCAGATCTTGAATAAGGTGTCAAATTTGCAGATGAAGGCAACTGAAGACAATCTGAGAACTTGTTGCTTGTTATGTCTAGAAAAACTAAACACAGTCATGGCAGCCCTCACATACCTACCTTACTTCATAAATTGATGGAACAGGGAGCGATTATGTAAGTGACTACTTATATTTTTATTCTAATCCTAAAAACATTCCAACACCATGGGGATAGATGTGGAGTTAAGTAAGAAATGAGAACAGATTGGGACTACTTGCATGAGCAAGCCTGAAGAAAGGCTGCCAGGATTGATCACTGAGATAATGTGCCTCTGTGAAACAGTCAAATCATCTAACAACGCAGGCTCAATAGAAAACAAGAGTTTGAGGTGTTCTTTAAGAAGTGCCTGCTTAGTAGAGATTACAACTAGTAAATCCATTTTAGCCATCTTAAATTTAAAGATGTCTTTTATAGGGTTCCACACACTCCCTGATCACCCTCTTATAGCTAACATGCTTGTAGAAACCTTTCTTGTTATCCTTCACATCCCTTGCTAGCTGCAATTTTAATTGCGCTTTTGCCTTCCTGATAACTCCCCTTCATTCTCAAGTAATATATTTATATTTCTCCCTATTAATTTGTCCAAGTTTCCACTTCTTGTAAGCTTCCTTTTTGAATTTAAGCTCACCAAAGATTTCCCCGGTAAGCCAATCTGGTTTGCCCACATGTCTCTTATCTGCTTATGCTGTGAGCTCTTCAAAGTAGGGACTGTTCTCTTATTATGTGTGTTTGTGTGCAATTCCTAGCTCACTGAGGCCTTGTTCTGCCAAAATGTCTTACTAATTAAATCTCTATATAGTTTTGTAGCTGATAAAATAAGTCAAAATATTGGAATTTCTTTCCCTGAGAGTGTAATTAGTCCATTATTAAGAAGAAGGCTCTGGCCCTTAAATGGGCAATCAAGGCCATGAGGTACTACCTTCTAGGGAGTCCTTTTGTTTTAGTAATGGATCATAAACTGCTTAAAAGGTTGCATACAATGAGAGACACTAATGTCTGAATAATGATGTGGTACCTCACTTTACAATAGTATACGTTTACTATCCAACACTACCCAGGGAAGGAGAATGCCAACACAGACTGTTTATCTCACATGGGGGAGGGTCAAAAGTCCAGCCCCAAAAGCTGGGAGCTGGAGTTGAGGAGGGATGTGGTTTTGGTGGAGTTGCCTCAGAGTGGGGTGGAGTGGCCGCCCACTGACCCAGAGGGGGAGAAGCCCCTCCCAAAACTGTGGTAGGCAGAGCCCGGCCCCAGCACACCACCTGACTGAAAGTCAGGAGTCAGAGCAAGGACTACTCAAGACCAGCCTGAAAGGTCAGTTAGTCCCCAGCCGCTAGAGCAGGCATGTCAAACTTGAAGCCTACTGAGGGCCGCACAAATGAAAACTGATACCTTTCAGGACCACCTAGGGTTCACAGATGGTTTGTCGAGCAAAAAACAAAAAAAGTATTTTAGGTGCCAGGCAGAAGGCATCACTACCGGACACCTGGCAAGCCTAAGTCCACCAAAGATAATGTACTTTGTTGGAAAGTCATAGTTATTTATTATTATAGATTATGTTTTAGGTATATTTTATAATATTACAATAATTTGACGTGTAAAATTTTTATTTGCTCGTTATAAATAATTTTTAAATTAAATTTACTTATTTTTTAATTTAAATATACACTTAAGGTACTTTTAAATTTTGTATCTGATACATAAATTGTCTTGTTGAAATAAAAACAAGTATAAACCATGGTTAATCAAATAGAACAGGCTTCTGTGAAAATTTCAGATACTTTGTAAGTTTGAGATTTTGCATAAAAATATAATTATTCATGCAATTGCAAAAATTGACATATTTATTGATATAAAATTAATATACATTTTGTGATTTTATTTGGGAATAAATAAGTAAAAAATAAAAAACAAAATATTAACAAAATAACCCCTTCCTCTCCCCCAGAGCCAGCTCTCCCAACCTAATGCCTCCTCCCCTCTCCCAGAGCTAGGCACTCTCAGACCCCCAACCTAATGCCTCCTCCCTCCTACAAAGCCAAGGACTTCCAGCTCCCCCCTTCGCTGACCTAATGCCTTCTCCTTCCCTCATAGACAGGCACCTCCAACCTCATGCCTTTACCCTCCTCCAGAGCTAGGTACTCCCAGCCCTCCCCCCCAACCTAATGCGTCCCGCCTCCACCAGAGCCAGTTCCCTCAACCTAATGCCTCCTCCCTCCCCCAAAGCCAGGCTCTCCCAGCCCCGACATTGACGCCTGAGGCACTGGGGGAGCATGAGCACAGCGGCCAGATGTGAGTGCCTGCTGGAACACCCAGCGCACAGCTGGCTATGAGTGCCTGCTGAAGAGCTCAGCACAGAGCGCCCAGCTGGGCATGAGCGCGTGAGCAGGCACTCGGCCACATGCTCTGAGTGGCCAGCGGGCCTCACTTCATTCTTTTATAAAAATGTTCTGGTGGGCCACAAAAAATTTGATCGGGACATGTGTGCCCCCTCTCCCCCCCAAACGCCAGTTTGACATTTCTGTGCTAGAGGAACCAGAGGCCTACCCTGCACTCCCAAGCAGGGAGCTGGACCTGAGGGAAGTTTAGGACTGACCTGGGCCACTGGACCACCAGTTGGATTATGGCTTGGAGGAACTGCTCACTTGGCCAGAGGATCCAGCCCTAGAGAACACAACAGACCTGCACTGGAGTCAGGTACGTACTGAGGGGAAGAAATGGAAGCAGCTTACAAATAGCCAACAGTAGTTTGGTTAAGCCAGAGCTGGGGTTATCGTGTTGCAATAAGGATCCTTGCTAAACCAGCAACAGACTGCTCTGCTGCTGTTAGGGCCCTGGGCTGGGGCACAGTAGAGTGGGATGCCCTGGGTGGCAGTCTCTCCCCATAGATGTTCCTGAACATCAGTCTGCATTTGTTGGACCCCCTCCTGAGCAAGGGGACCCTTCTGTGATTGCTGCAATTTGGACTTGTGAACTGCTTGTTTGTTTATTGCTGCCCCGCCCTGAACCAGGGCCTGGGCCTAAGAATTGTTTATTGCTGTCCCTCCTTGAACCAAGGCCTGAGCGGAGTGACTGCTACTGTGAACTGTTTATTTGCTGCCTTGTCCTGAACCAGGGTGGAGGCCTAAGGACTGGTTGTGGTTGCCTCACCCTTAACCAGGGACTGGGCCTCTTTAATTCTACCTATGAACTGTTTGTGTGCTGCTCTGCCCTGAACCTGGACCTGGGACTGCTACCTATGGCCATGGACTGACCTAAAGCCAAAACCCAGCATAGCTTATTCCTTCAGAGACATTGAGTGGGCGTGTAGTGGGGCAGAGTGGCTGCCTGCTTACTCAGAGGGAGAAGAGCCCCTCCCAGGATATGACTACACCTGGTGGGTTCTTGTGCAAGAACTCTTGTGCAAGAACATGTCCACACTGCCATGTGCTTTTGTGCAAGAGTGTCCATGGCAGTGTGGATGCTTGTACAAGAAAGCTCTGATGGCCATTTTAGCCATAGGGCTTTCTTGTGCAGAAACCCCTGCCCATTTGCACAAGAGCCCTTTTGCACACTGCCCTTTTGCACAAGAGCTCTTGCGCAAGAGAGCTTACACTTGTTAGAAAAGAGCACAGCTCTTGCGCAAGAATACCTCTCTTACTATGCTTTTCTGTAAATCTTCTTGCTTAAGAGGAGGTGGGCAGTGTGGATGCTCTGCGCAAGAATGGCTATTCTTGTGCAAGAACCAGCCAGTGTAGATATAGCTCCAGAGTCCTTCTGGGCTACAGGCTGTTTTAACTTTTGCCAAAGATTTTTGGCCACTTCCATATTCTCTGAAGTGCAAAGTGAGAACTTAGCCAACTTTAGTTCCATCCCTCATGAGAAGACAGAGTTCATATTGTTAATCCTTGGTCATTTCTAATCCTTGGTCATTCTGAATAAATCAATATGAAATGTAACATACAGAATGTAAAAGTAGTAGTTTCTGTTTTTCTCTTGCTTCACTTAAAAAAACCTC